TTCTGAACTTGGTGGATGCAATATTTCAAAAAAATGTATATAATATAATGATATTTCTTGCTGTGTATATTTCTCAATTTGTCCAATATATGGATTCTAAATTATTTACTGCTTTGTATAGAGATGGGGGGAAGAGGGAGTTAAAAGTAGTCATTATAGTTACGGTGACAGTATGAGTAATTATCATTGTTGCTGAATATATTGTTTGGTTGTGGACTACTAGACATCCCGGTGTGTTTTCCTTTTCAATATCTAAGTTGTTTGAAGAATATTTATGTTCTGTTTCTCCTGGCTACTGTCATTTTTCTTCTTCTTTTTTTTCCTTTTATATTATGCTTGGATTCAGCTAGAAGTAAAGGAAATAAACGAACATTAGTGATGATCAGAGCATAATTATATCTAACAAACCAAAATGCAGACCAAACTGAAGACATGAAAATAACTAAATCAGAGTAATCCGCAACAACACAACTTCAATTCTGCTAACAAGCTTGGAAGAGGTGGCTTTGTGTTTTTGTCTATGAGGTAGCTTAATCATGAGAAGTTCAAATTCTTTTCAAATAATATTTATGATGTAACTGCTTTTTCATAACATATTCTTATAGGGAGAATTGCAAGATGGACAGGAAGATGCATTGAAGTCTCTAGAGCATCTGGACAAGGGCTAGTAGAGTTTATGAATGAAGTGGTTATTATTTTAATGCTACAAAACTGGAACTTAGTTAGACTTCTAGCTGCTGTATCGAAGGAGAGGAAAAGATGTTGATCTGTGAGTACATGCCTAAAAAGAGTTTGGATGCTTTAGTCTTCGGTTAGTTTATTATTTTGTAGTGCCTGTATCTTATCCATGGGCTTTGCAATCTTCTTTCTTTCTTTCTTTCTCTCTCTTTTTTTTCCCCTCTTTTGGTTCACCCACCAACTTTGTTATACATCCTTATCTTTTCCAATATGAATTTCACAGCGGTCTTCTTGCTTCTGAGTCCACTAGAGTTTGAGAAAGAATTATTAAAAAAAGGATATTAATCAAGTAAACAAAACCCTTGCATTTTGTTGAATCAAAATATGTATTTGTATTTTAATAAACTTTCTCTTGTTTTGGTAGATCCTATCAATAAATTAAGAAGGCTTTAGATTGGAAGGGAAGATTTAAATTATTCATGGGGATCTAAAGTCTAGTAATATTTTGTTTCATGGAGGGCTTAATCCAAAGATATTAAATTTTGGCATGTCAATATTCTTCCAAAGTAATGAAGATGAAGATAATACTACGAGGGATGTTGGAAGACAGTGAACATGTTTTCTCTCTTCCTAGTACTACAATAACACTAGAAATATTCATATGATTTGATCTCCAACTTTAAGGATTAAACGCAATGGCTACATGTCACTTGCAATGGAATGACTATCTTTAGACAAATCAGACGCATTCGGCTTCAGAGTCTTGGTACTAGAGATCATCAGTAGTAGGAAAGTGACATGGTTTTGTATAAATGGACACTCTCCGAGCCTAATGGTATATCACTCAAATTTAACTTTGGTATAATTTCAACAAAGCTGAGTTGATAAATAATTTTTATGCTGCTTTTGCTTTTGTCTTTTAGGCATGGAAATTTTGAATGAAGAGGACATTACAACTTCTATTATTCCTGAAATCTCAGAACCAAATTTTTAGGCATGCAAATAGGACTTTCATGAGTGGAAGAACTTACGAGAGACAGGCCTTCCGTGACCAAAGTAATGTCAAAGGCAGGTTGTATTGAGTGCACAATAATCCCAACAAAGCAACAAGGCATGCTCTATCAATAGCGCCGCTGGCACTGACATGCGAGTGAGATGGAAGACAGTGATTTAAAAAAGCAGTAACCAAATTAATATAACTCAAATGCTTAGAACAGTTTTCATTCTAGTTATGTGGGTAGACAAGCAATATTCTGCTAGAGCATTTATATGAAATATCTAAAGAAGTATTATTTCTGGTTCTTAATATGAGAACTAGTTTAATATTCAATTTTGTTTTAAATATAAGATCTCAATCTACTTTATCTCTCATATTTATCTATTTTTTTAAAAGTAGTTCTTATAGTAGTTGCACATGATAGAGCTTCTATCAAATGGTAGTTCTAGCTAATACTAGTGATTAGCAAAAATATTCTAGAAAGATAACACCTATTGATTACAAATAACTAACTTAACAAGCTTTCTTAATCTACTCAAATTACTCAGCTAGCTCTTATATTAAGAACTGGATATAGTATTGGACATATTTGTTCATTAATATTCTTAGTTAAACTTGAACTGCATATATATGACGCTTGAGCTCTAGTATTACCGGTTTATTCCCACAACCTGAAGTTAAAAATGGTTGCTAATGTTTGGAATGGAACTTCATCAGACTGAATTATATTTGTATTTTAAAGCCTCCATGAAGCTACGGATACTGGTATTTTGTCTTTGAATAGGATGCATGCATAGCTTGCGCAAATATATGTAGGCTTCCGTATCCATTGCTCATTTCCTTATCATTGAGATGAGATGGAATGTGAACGCCCTAAATTTAATTTGAATAGTCCATACACAGACACTATGATCCAATTAACTAATTTAAAAAGATTAAAAAAATCACTAAATTACTTAATTATAGCATACATTATTATTTTTTCACAATATTTATATGTATTATTAGGTTATATATCAATTTATCAGTAAGACAAATTAGTTTGAAAAAAATAATAAATATAAATATTTTAAAAATAATATAGCAACTTTCTTAATCTATTTTAATTAATCAAGAGTCTTATATTAAGGATCGATAGACACACATACTCTTGATCATGGTTGAAATATCCTCTTCAGAGTTTACCGACTTGGCCGCTCTTCAAGTGGCGTGTCTTTTACGTCGTCATTTTCAGTGGCTATTTCCTGGAGGAACTTGTGTAAATTCATGGTTGCCCGCTAAGAACTTGACTTCTTCTCTGACCAAAAAATTAGACTTGCCATCTCTTTGCTTGTTGTGAAAGACTATTGAAAAACAGCTCCACGTAGATTCCCCTACATTTTTCCATAAGAATAGTCCCACCACTTCACATGTCATTTCCACATAATTTCCCATCTCTTGGCATCCTTGATTCTGAAACTTTGATAACAACTGACAGAGACCTCGCTCTACTGGTGAAATGCTTCTGGCTTTGCTTATCAGCTCCAAGGTTTGGAACTGCTTTTCCTAAATGTTTCTGCAAATTTACAATTTCAGTAAACGCAGCTTTTAATTTTATTGAAACGGTAACGACGATGTTTTTTTTGTGCAACTAACATCATTTTGACACCGTTTTAGGTCCGCAACATTTTGAAATAACTTATGCTTTCAAGAGGGGAGAAAAAAAGATTTTATGGCATAAAATACGGTTGCCAAAATAGCTCACCGATGTGATGGTCACGGGATACTACTAATTACGGGGCACGAGGAGAGCAGTCTCTACCAGTCCAGGATTGACGGGTCAAAGAATTAATATCACAGCTTTTTTTAGTTTTGAGCGAAAAATATCAAAGTGCTTTTTAAATGCAGATCATAACCCAAGGAAGCAAAGCATGTACAAGGAGTGACGTTGTTAAATTTCACAACCAACCCCCCGGGGGGGGGGGGGAGAAAGAAAGCTAGTCACCGCTAGATATGGAGAAGATTAAGTAAATAAGACGTCTGGTTTTCTGGTCCTTGAAGTAATGGGATTACTACACATACATATATTCTCATGCCTTCAACTTTCTGCGTCTGTTGTTAATCAGGGTCTTAAACACCATTCTATGATCTGTATTCGTCATAGATTCCAACTCAGACTTGGATTCTTCTTTGTCCAACTCCGAAGTCATACGTGTGGCTAAACAGAAACCAAGAAACACAAGATTCTAGCTCTGGCGCGAATAGTCATTAGTCTTTCTTCCTTGTGTGCATGTGTGAGCATGGGTGGGATACATACATACATACAAACACATGGTGATCATCCATCATGACACATGATAAGGTGTGATAGAGATACAACTAGAAATAAAAGTGTGGGACCGGTTTGCATCAAAGTCTTCTGTCCTCCTGTGGCCAAAAGTAAAAGTCATTGCTCTTCCAGTCTTCCTTATGTCACTATGTTGAGCTTACAAGAAAATTTAGAGAGAGGGAGAGAGTGTGAGGGACTGACTAGTTGGGGTGACCGCAGTCAAGACTCCCAGCAGCACCTTGGCCTGGCTTCAAAGACTTATGCCCAATAATAACAACAGGGGAAATGCTCCTGCTTGTGATGAAATGGGAAAGAGACATAGATAGTAACAAGAAATGGGAACTGGTTTTTCTCATGGGATTACAGCCAATTTTTCTCATGCTCTTAAGCCTATGTGTAGGTTTGATCACTGCCTTAGACTCCATTACATCATCTGTGTTCATCAAAGATTCAGAAACTGTAAGCTCAAACAACAGCGCATTCAAACTCGGATTCTTCAGCCCCCAAAATACCACAGATCATTGTGTCGGAATCTGGCATGTCTTCAATTCCAAAATCACATGGGTGGCTAACAAAAACCAACCATTGCAGGATTCTTGTGGGATCATTACTATATCTTGCAGTATTGAATGGGAAGAAAAAGATCTTTTGGTCATCAAATGTCTCAAACAAGGCATCGAGTTTCACTGCCCAACTTCTCAATTCTGGTAACCTTGTGCTGATAGACCAAACAGGCAAGACATTATGGGAGAGTTTCCAACATCCAGGTGACAGAACCAGAAAATTGGTTCATCAAGAAAAAAAAACCTTCTGAAAGAAAATTGCCTTACACAACAAGAACAAAGAAAGTAGGAGAGCAAAAGGTTCAAGAAAACTGTGACACTTATAATTACTGTGGGACATATGGGATCTGTGCCTCCAGCAAATCACCAACCTCCAGTTGTTTGAAAGGGTTTGAACCAAGAAATATCAATGAACGGAATAACCAAAATTGGACGAGTGTGTGAGAAGGGCGTGACTACAGTGTGCAAGTGATGGAGGCAAAGATGATTGGTTTCTTGAGCTGCAGGTGACAAATAATCCAAAAAATTCAACGCCATCATTTGTTTCTAAAGACACATACAAAAATCAGTGCCAAAAAAATTGCAATTGTACAGCATATGCACATGTTTCTGCTTTTTCCTGCATATACTGGACAATAAACCTAACAGGCATAGTAAGACTGTCCAGTGGAGGAATTAATCTTTACATCCACCAAGCCTATTCAGAACATGGTAGGTACATGTTGAGTCAATTATTTGATCTTATGATGTTTCTAAATGAGTTTATAATGCTAACAGTACAGATAGGAAGAAAAAGGGCTTCAAAGTAGTTATCACAGTAACAGTGATAGAAGGAGTGATTACCATTGCCATCTGTGCTTATATCTCAAACGCGTGGACTGCTAAATATTCTGGTACATTTCCCAAATACCTGTGTATTTCAAGAATAATCATGTTCTCTTCATTGATTTGTTGCTTTGGTAAACTAGCCTGTGCTTTCCGCGCGATGCATGGGGAGCTTATAAATATGAAATTATTTCATCTTAATTCTCGTTAAGAAAATAATCCATACCTTCCATAGCATATCAACAATGCATTATTACATGTTTTTTAGGTGATACATTAATATTTCATGACGCATGCAAGATCCCAAATCTTTCCTTGAAATATTTGCTACATGCAGACTTGTGCATGCAATCATTTTTCACTCTAGATCACTAAATCACCTAAACTTAGCCTTCATTGTATCCAGAAATAATTTGAATAACAGAAATGGTTTGTAACAATTCTTAGCCATGTCCCCCCCCCCAAATATCTTTGTCAACAAATGAAGAAGGAAAATATATTATAATCAGTTACTGCTTGATTTCTTGTATTGATTTACTTTGAGGTATTTCAGATATATGATTGTATTCAGCAAGAAAAAAGGAAAGCAAGGCAAAGTTATTGCAGAAAAAAAGAAGAAACCCACTAGGAGATGTGAAAAATGCAAAACTTGAGAAGCTACCACTGTTTCATTTTAGAATCGTTGCAACTGCAACCATCAACTTCAGCATTGCTAATAAGCTTGGAAGGGTGGTTTCGATCTGGTATACAAGGTAACTAAATCTTAAGAAATGAATCTTCTTTCAGATAATTTCTATGATCTACTATGTTTCTGATATGATATTGTAATAAATAAATAACAGAATTATGTGAGTTAGTTAGAATAATAGTTAGTTACCAGCAGTTGGACTTTGCCTATATAAACAAGCTTATCTCTCATTTCTAAGTGTGCTGTATTGTGATCAACCTAATGGAACTCTCTGTCTCTTCTGTCTATTGACTTCTACTCTCTCCCCCTTCTCTCTAATTTCCCCTATTCTCTTTGTTTCTCTTCGTTTTCCCTTCTCTCTCTCTGTCTCTCTCTCTTTTCCAATAACATAACAGTGGTATTCAGAGCCAATCTTTCCTTGGCCCTACCTCTCTTTCTTTTCCAATAACATAACAGAGCCAGTCTTTCCTTGGCCCTCCCCCCCTACTTGGTTCTTTCTCCCTCATTCCCAATCAATTTCAAGTTCCATGGAGGAACATCTCCTCAACATCGAACAGAAATTGAATTCAGTCGATGGACTACAAGGCTCCGTCACTAAATTAAGAGGCCCTTCTTGGCTTGTCCACGCAGCTTCAAGAAATCATGAAACAAAAGGACTTGCTCTGTCTTCGACATTGAGGGTTCTTGGCAAAATTTAATTCCGAATTTGACGCAATTTCCTCCAAAATCTCATTGCCTGAAAAATGGTTGGTTAATGCTTACATCTCGATGCTGCAAGAAGACTATGCCAAACCAGTACGTCTGTTCACGCCTCGGACGATGTGCAAAGCCAAAAGCCTCGCAAGAATGCAGGAGCTCGCTTTGTAATGGAAGCGCAAGAAGCACGAGGCCCAAGAGGTATTCGTTGAAATGCAAGAATCGTCTGGCGTCAGCGAGCAACCACAGAAGAGTCCTCAAGATGTTTGTGAAGACAGCAACATCACAAGAACCACAAGTCTAAGTCTTCTTGAACCTGCCCAAGGTGCGTCGAGTGCGCCAAGGGAGACCAACACTGTAAAGAAAGGTACAAAGAGCTTTGGGCTTGCAACTTCTGGCTCTGAGCGAATTACGTCGAGCACAATGGAGCAAAACAAAGAAGCAAAGCCAAGTTCGAATGACCTTGGGGTGTCCACGCAGATGTTCTTGCATGCGACAATGAAGAACAAAGGCATAAGGACATGTACAAATGGAGTTAGGCTCTACATGCATGGTATTAATCTTGAGTGTCAAGCTCCAAGAACGCGAGAAAGTATGAGAATAGCATCTGGAAGAGTTTTGAAAACCACTAACCCTATTTCAGGCTCTGTTTCTTCAAAGATGGACTCGGCTTCTTCACTTTCTTCAAGTGTCGTCTCTCTATTGATCGGAAACAATGTGAAAATGCCATCTGGTGTTAATGGGTCTTCCATATTTCACTTCGTTGGAGGTTTACAGTGTGAGGATAGGAAGCAGTCATCAAATGACAGTGGGTCCCAATTGGTGACATGCAAACGCAACTTTTGGATAAACTACCCAGTTTCCAGGACTGTTCAGCCTGCAGCTAGCACTTTTCCTTCATATATAGGATTACAATTGGCTTGCACTTTGTTTAAGCAATAGAAGTATTTTAGATTTACACTGGATTTAGTAATATCAGATAAGCATATGGGCTTTATCTTTCAAGAAAAGGGCCCAAGTTCATTGCTGCAATGGATTTCTCATATTCAAGTTTTCCCTACAAGAATTTTAATTCGGATATGGTTCAAGGGAAAGTTAATCAAAATGCTTCAAGGATCTAGGTTGATGCAAGGTTCTATGTACCTTGACCCTTGAGGACAAGGGTCTTTGGGGAGGGGGGTATTGATATGATATTGTAATAAATAAATAACAGAATTATGTGAGTTAGTTAGAATAATAGTTAGTTTACCAGCAGTTGGACTTTGCTTATATAATCAGGCTATCTCTTATTTGTAAGTGTGCTGTATTGTGATCAACCTAGTGGAACTCTCTTTCTCTTCCGTCTATTGCCTTCTACTCTCTCCCCCTTCTCTCTTGAGGAATTAGAACCAATAATAAAACTATTCAATATATTATTTCTGAAGCCAAGGAGTACAATATATAACCAGCTAGGGTAAATCAAAGATAAAAAGAGAATCAAAGAAATCTATCCTAATCTGACTAATAATCCTACTCAAATTAATAATCTAAATACAAAGAATGAGACTGATAAATAAAACACACGGCTTATTAGGCTTCGGCCTTGTCTTCCAATACTCCCCCTCAAACTGGTGAGTAGATGTCGATCATTCCCAACTTGCTCCTTAGTCCTTCAAATGAGTCTTTGGGTAATGGCTTAGTAAACAAATCTGCCACTTGATTTTTTGTTCAGATATGGGATAAGTCAATGATACCACCCTCAATTTTTTCCCTTATAAAGTGTCTGTCAATTTCCACATGCTTTGTCCTGTCGTGATGCACAGGATTTAGGGCCATTTCTATAGCTGACTTACTATCACACCAAAGCTTTATTGGCCCAGTATGCATTAGTCTTAGTTCTTTTAGAACTCTAATCATCCAGATCCCTTCGCAGACCCCAAGGGCTAGTGCCCTCAGTTCTGCCTCAGCATTGCTTTTGGAAACTACTGGTTGCTTCTTACTTCTCCAAGTAACTAGATTTCCCCATAAGTAAGCGATGTATCCAGTAGTGGACCTCCTATCTAGCAAGGACTGCCCATGATTTGCATTCAAGTATGTTGTTCTTGCGGTTGATTCATGAACTGACTTACAACTCCCACAGCGTAGCTATATCTGGTCATGTATGAGCTAGATAAATGAGCTTTCCTACCAACTGTTGGTATCTTCTAGTGTCATCTGGTACCCCATCCTTCTTGTATTCTAAATTGCACTCAGCTTCCATGAGAGTTTCTACAGGTTTGGCTCCAAACATTCCTGTTTCCTGCAACAAGTCTAGTGTGTATTTCCTCTAAAAGACATTTAAACCCTATTTGGTTCTACTAATCTCCATCATAAGGAAATACCTCATCTGTCCCAAATCTTTCATCTCGAACTTAGCTGCCAATTATCTCTTTAACTTTCTTATGGTACTTTCATCATTTCCTGTGATCACAATATCATCTACATATACTATCAGGATAGTTATTTGATCACGAGCATGCTTTATGAATAGTGTGTGATCTGATTGCCCTTGTGAGTATCCCATCTTTTTCATAGTTGTCAAGAATCTTTCGAACCAAGCTCTAGGGGATTGTTTCAACCCGTATAATGATTTCCGGAGTTTACAAACCTTTGAGCAATTTGTCGGGTTCTTTAAGCCCGCAGGTGTCTCCCTATATACTTCTTCTTTGAGGTCCTCATTTAGAAAGGCATTTTTCACATCTAACTAATAAAGTGGCCAGTCTAGATTTGCTGCTACTGATAAAAGAACCTTAATGGTGTTGAGCTTAGCTATCGAAGCAAAGGTTTCTTGATAATCAACTCCATATGTTTGTGTATATCCTCGGGCCACAAGTCTAGCTTTACATTTGTTCATGCTTCCATCTGGATTGTACTTGATAGTGAAAACCCACCGACTCCGCACGGTCTTCTTTCCTTAGGGTAGATCAGTGATTTTCCACGTTTCATTCTGTTTTAATGGTTTCAACTCTTCATTGATAGCCTGTTTCCAATTAGAGTTACCAATAGCCACTTGAAATGTCTTGGGTACTCTTTCACTGGATAAGTTTGCTACAAACATCTGCATTCTAGAAGACAATTTATCATAGGAAACAAATTGGATGCTGAGTACAAGATCTTACCCTTTTTCTGAGGGCAATTGGCCACCCAAGTTCTTCAGGACCTAACATTGGATTGGAGACTTGGTTATGCCTTGGAATGTGAGAGACTCTATTATTTTGCTACTCCTTTGAGTGTTGTTGTTCTTCTTTATTATTAGATTCAGTACCATGCTCCTGGTCCATCCCAGTATTCATCTCAACACTATTTTCCTGATTGCTGTGGTTTTGTTGGGTAGAAGAAACTTGTGGGTTTGGATTTTCAGGCTTTGATTGAGTAGGGGAAGTTTGTGGGTTTAGGTTTTTAGAAGTTTGTGGGTTTTTGGATATGACCCAGTATTGGTTTGGTTTAGGGCTATCTTGGCTTGTTTGAGCAGCAGGGGTATCTAAAGTTAGCCATCCCTCAGTATCATAATTCTCCCCCTGAATGGGCAACTTGGGATAGTAGGAATCTTCTTCTAAAAATACAACATCCTTAATAACATAAACTCTCCTGGTTGTGAGACAATAACACTTATAACCTTTTTGGGTAGGAGAATACCCAAGAAAGATACATTTTAGAGCTCTTGGTTCAAGTTTGTTGCCCTTATCTTGGTGTATATATACTACACATCCAAATACTTTCAAGGGAATGTCTGAAACTAGGGGTGAATTTGGGTAGGTTTCAAGAAGTGTTTGGATAGGAGTTTGGTAGCTGAGTGTTTTTATGGGCATTCTATTGATCAGATAGGCTGATGCGAGGATAGCTTCTCCCCAGAACAGGTTTGGAACATTCCTGGCAATCATAATGGCTTGAGTGACTTCTAGGAGATGTTGATTCTTTCATTCAGCTACCCTATTCTGTTGTGGTGTGTATGCACATGAAGTTTGATGGTGGATTCCTTGTTGGTCAAGGAATTCCTTAAAGGTTGTACTGAGGTACTCTCTTGCATTGTCACTTTTTAATATCTTGATTGTCCCTTGGAATTCAGTTTTCACAAATGTGTGGAAACTCCTGAAAATGTTAAACACTTTCGATCTTTCTTTCATTAGGTATACCCAAGTCACTCTAGTGTGGTCATCAATAAAGGTCACAAACCACCTAGAATTAGAGGTTGATTTAACTCTTGCGGGTCTCCAAATATCACTATGTATTAAGGTAAAGGATGCGGTTGGTTTATAGGCTTGTTTGGGATAGGAATTTCTTGTTTGTTTTGCAAATTGGCAAGTTTCACAAAAGAAAGGAACTGAACTTTTATTCAATAAATTTGAAAATAAATGTTTCATATAATCAAAGCTGGGATGGCCTATCCTAGAATGCCATAATAATACATCCTTATTTGAAGAATTTGAATGGAACAAAGCCTTGCCCACATATTTATTGGTGATCCTAGAGCCTTCAAGATAATAGAGTTCGTCCCATTCTTTAGTAATACCATTCCTCCTCCTTGTTGTCAAATCCTAAAAACACACCCGGTTTCATCAAAAAGCACTCAGCAGTGATGATTTTTAGTTATTTTACTCACTGATAGTAAATTACATGCAAGCACTGGGACAAATAAAACATTATGTAATTCTAAGTTATTCGAAATCTCGACTGTTCCAACACCATAGACTTTAGAGAAGATTCCATTAGCAACTTTCACTTTGAGGTTCTCATCATGACAATACTTTAAAATTCTGAACAAAGATTTATTACCCGTCATATGATCTGTAGCTCCAGAGTCAACAATCCAAGTATTTTCAATGGTTACCATGGCATTTAGGGCTATAATAGAATTACCTGACTTTACCAAATTTGCTTTAGGGGTAGAGATCGAGTTATTATGCTTCTTAAGGATTTGTCCGAGTACTTGTAGCTCTTCTCGACTAAGAGTTTCTCCATTCTCTTCATTCTCAGCAGTTGCAACATACCCCCTACTCTCCGGTCTTCATTTTTGTTTCAAATTTGCTGGCTTGCCGTGTAATTTCCAGCATATGTCCCTAGTATGACCATTTTTGTTGCAATGATCACACCATCCTTTGGAATTCTTCTTTCCCCTCTGTTCCAGTCAATTGTTGCCTTTTACTATTAATGCTGAACTCTCTGAGGGTGCAGATACACTCAGGGTGAGTAGTTTTCTGCTTTCTTCACACCTGATCATGTTGAAAGCTTCGAATAGCGATGGCAGCGGCTTCATTCCCATAATTCTTCCTCTTACGTCATCAAACACATCAACAAGACCAAGTAAGAACTCATAAGTTCTTTCTTTTTCGACTAGCTCCCTGTATAGTTGGGCATCACTGCTGTACTTCCATTCATGGACATCAAACATATCCAACTGCTGCCACAAACGTGTGAGAGCAGTATAATACTGTGTCACTGTCATATTTCCTTATTTCAACTCCCTTTGCAACTTCTTGATTTGAAACAGAGTAGTAATATTCTCCATAGCCGAGTATGTTCTTTTTGCAGCATCCCATATCTTCTTTGCTGTCTTAACAAGCAAATAGTCTTCATTGATGTCTACTATCATGGAACTACATAACCAGGTCATTACTAAATTATTTTCGGCGAACCATGTATCATACTTTGGGTCATTAAGACTTGGTTGTGGAGCCTCTCCACTGATATATTTTTCCTTTCTTTTGCCTTGTAAGTACATCAGGACGCTTTGAGACCATTATAGATAATTACTTCCATTCAGTTTGTGAGTAACAAGCATCTGTGGTGTCTCAGTGGTCATACCAGGTTCTATTCCCATTGAAGAGGAAGAACCCGATGCAAAAGGGCTTGATGTAGAAGAGCTCAAACTAGAAGAAGAAGTAGACGATGCTATACCTGCTGTAAACGCTAATGAAGATCACCTCATTGTGCCAAACAAGGGCGAAAATTCTCCAGAATCCATCTTATTCACGTCGGGTTCACTATATTGCACGATTACGGTCATGCCTTTGTGCGACAAGTCAGTCTAGTCTCAATCGCTCTCTTCGTTCCAGCCAGATTGCTCTGTTGGGTTCGCTTAGATTGCACGATTATGATCGTGCTTTAGTGCGGCAGTTACTCGGTGCTTCAGCACAACAATTACTTGGTCTTAATGGCAGACGAAGACGCGCCCAGTGCCTCAGTTGTCGACGTGTCTTCGTGTGACCAAGTTAATTGACTTTGACCGT